GAGTCTTGTAGAGTCTCAAAGAGTCTCAAGGAGTCTCGTTCAGTATCATCAAGTCTTGTTGAGTCTCGTTGAGTCTCGTTGAGTCTTGTAGAGTCTCAAAGAGTCTCAAGGAGTCTCGTTCAGTATCATCAAGTCTTGTTGAGTCTCGTTGAGTCTTGTAGAGTCTCAAAGAGTCTCAAAGAGTCTCGTTCAGTATCATCAAGTCTCGTTGAGTCCCATCAAGTTTTATCGAGTCTCGTTGAGTCTTCGTTGAGTCTCAAAGAGTCTCAAAGAGTCTCAAAGAGTTTTGTAGAATCTTGTTGAGTCTCGTTGAGTCTCGTTCAGTATCATCAAGTCTTGTTGAGTCTCAAAGAGTCTTGTTGAGTCTCGTAGAGTATCAAAGGGTCTCGTTCAGTATCATCAAGTCTCGTTGAGTCTCACGAAGTCTCATAGAGTCTCAAAGAGTCTCGTTCAGTTTCATCAAGTCTCGTTGAGTCTTGTCGAGTCTTGTTGAGTCTCGTTGAGTCTCATTGAGTCTCATAGAGTCTCGTTGAGTCTCATTGAGTCTCATAGAGTCTCAAAGAATCTCGTTCAGTTTCATCAAGTCTCGTAGAGTCTCAAAGAATCTCGTCGAGTCTCGTTGAGTCTTGTTCAGTCTTGTAGAGTCTCAAAGAGTCTCAAATAGTTTTGTAGAATCTTGTTGAGTCTCGTAGAGTCTCAAAGAGTCTCGTTCAGTATCATCAAGTCTCGTTGAGTCCCATCAAGTTTTATCGAGTCTTGTCGAGTCTTCGTTGAGTCTCGTTGAGTCTCAAAGAGTCTCAAAGAGTTTTGTAGAATCTCGTTGAGTCTCGTTGAGTCTCGTTGAGTATCATCAAGTCTTGTTGAGTCTCGTTGAGTCTTGTTGAGTCTCGTAGAGTATCAAAGGGTCTCGTTGAGTATCATCAAGTCTTGTTGAGTCTCGTTGAGTCTTGTTGAGTCTCGTAGAGTATCAAAGGGTCTCGTTCAGTATCATCAAGTCTCGTTGAGTCTTCGTTGAGTCTCAAAGAGTCTCAAAGAGTCTCAAAGAGTTTTGTAGAATCTCGTTGAGTCTCGTTGAGTCTCGTTCAGTATCATCAAGTCTTGTTGAGTCTCGTTGAGTCTTGTTGAGTCTCGTAGAGTATCAAAGAGTCTCGTTCAGTATCATCAAGTCTCGTTGAGTCTCACAAAGTCTCATAGAGTCTCAAAGAGTCTCGTTCAGTTTCATCAAGTCTCGTTGAGTCTCAAAGAATCTCGTCGAGTCTCGTTGAGTCTTGTCGAGTCTCGTTGAGTCTTGTTCAGTCTTGTAGAGTCTCAAAGAGTCTCAAATACCCCTTTCACACCAACGCAACTCCGGTTCAAGCTCCGTGCTAGAGCTTTTCAGGTTCAGAACCGGTACTTCGGTTTAGCTCCGGCTCTTTTCACACCACTCAGAGCCCGACTGGTGCTGCCGCTGCTGCGTCATGACGTCACAGTTTACGTCGCTGAGTTTCTCCCCAACGGAGCTCACCTCACAACAACAACGGGCCGATGATCGTGTTGCTTTTAATCATACGAAGCCAGATTAAATTAAATAACGACTTCTCCAACCTTATACTTTTCTCCAGAGTGCCGTGGTTCATTGTTTATTAATGTGTTTCATTTAGCGACCGCTGCAGTGCTGGCTGCTCTTCAACGGGAGTTTATTCTCCCGTTAGCTCC